AAGAATAAAGGGAGGATATAGATATAATGAGATGTAAAGGTAGATTATTGAATCTACTCTTTAAAAGCAACTACTAGTTTTAAATATTTTACTTTGGATTGGACTTCTGTATATTGTATACAAATGTTGTATATCAATACAAATTTGAGATCAATTTTGCTAAAATATACTGCACAAATGTTTCTAATACTGAAGGTATTATATCCATACAGCTCATTTACAATGTAATACAAATTTCTAGTTCTTGAAAGTTACTATATAAGACAATCAGGAAATGTAGATTAGTAATTAGTCAGCTATAACAATCAAACTTGTAGTCACTTTAGGTATGTTTTCAAGGTCAAACTGATATACTAGAAAGATGGGTCATCTTCAAACACTTCAGAGATCTATAGAATATGGCATTTAACATGTTTTAAAAACATGATTCCTACAACACAAATTCTACTTGCTTCATATTACTGAGAGTAGTCGTGAATACTGGCTTCACTTTTACTACTCAAGTGAGCCATCATATCTACCTGAATTCCTTCTAGACTCAAGAAGGCTTATAGTTACCTAGCTTCTGTCAGTCAATCTTTTGCTTTTGTGACTCTGACATGATTTGGGTGCAAATTTTTGCATATTTGTTATTGGGTGATTTTTTTTTTTCATCAGGAGTTTTCCTTTTTAACTCTACCTTGATAACTTTAGAACTTTTCAAATTGAAGTTGTTGCATGCAGGGCTTAGGACTGAAGCCTACCAGATCCTCTTTCCTCTTCCTGTGTAACCATGATCTTTTTTTTTTTTTTTTAAATTTACGTATAGATCCTGGTTCCCTCTCCCTTCTATCCTCCCATGCTTACCCACTCCCCGTCCCATTCCCCATCCACTCCCCAGTGAGGATGAGGCCTTCTAGGAGGGATCATCAAAATCTGTTAAGTCATTTGGGGTAGGGTCTAGGCCCTCCCTCCTGTCTCTAGGCTAAAGGAGTATCCCTCCATGGAGAATGTGCTCCCAAAGTCCTTTCATGCGTTAGGGATACATCCTGGTTCCACGGTCAGAGGTCCCATAGACTACCCAGGCCTCCTAACTGACACCCACATTCAGGGGCCCTAGATCAGTCCTATGCTGGTTTCTCAGCTATCAGTCTGGGGTCCATGAGCTCCTCATTGTGTATCCATGATTTTAATCAAAGCCCTGTGTGTAAAGGAGCTGATAAAAAGCAGACAGTTCACCATCCATCATATTTTCTTAACAAATTTACCTTTGGCCCATGTTCTGGGCTTGATGGATTATTAGATATTTCTTACCAATAATTAGTTTCTAGTGTTGGTTATTTTTAACATTACTGAGGTTATTTTGGTCTCATCAAAATTTACTCAAATCTTGTATGTTGTTCTAATACACAGAAGGAGGAGGAGAATCACTGTTTGGACAGCCTATAATTGGTTACCAAATATTTTAGAGATTTTTTTTCAGCTGTCTTACATACTGGTGGTCATGTTTAGAGTGACTTCAGCCTAAGCAAAACTTTTTGAACATCACATCAAAAGAAGAATACAACTGCAATTTCACTGAAATTTGATAACGAGTGTAGTGTGGGTTTATAAAGTTTTTAGAGGCTTGTTTGTAGCAATGTAAATATTGTGCTTTGTGACTTATCATGCCAAAGAATCAAGTGGCAGAGATGATAACAATGGTAAATTATAGCTGGTATTGTTGACCTACTCCTCAGAGGCCACAGTTGTTGCCTGTGAAATACTTTTGCAGCGTACTTTACAATTCCTGCTTGGAAAGACTCGGAGACAGCAATGAAGTAAGGTAGGACTGAACAGATATTCAAGAGATTCTTCAGAGTCAAGAAGAGGTATGGTTTCAGTAATATAAAATGCTGCCAATGGCAGAGTCCTCTTAATATATAATAACCATAACTTATTCATGTTTCTGACATGTGATTGTAAATTTTAGCATCTAAGTTGAAATCATTTGTACATTTCTTTTTTTTTTGTTTTCCTTTCTTTCTTTCTTTTATTTATTTATTTATTTTATATAACCAAGTCCATGTTTGTTTAAATGAAAACAAACATTTATAGACAATATTTGGGAATTTGGGCATTGTTCTTTCCAAACTACTTCCTGCTGGTAAGGGGCACTGTCATGGGGGATTTGAAGAAGATTCAGAAATCCTGGCTGTAGTCTGTAAGGCTGCTTTGTGCAGCTGTTTTGAATGTAGGATCACCTGGTACTCTGTTTCAAGATGGCTGACTTGATCAAACCACATTAGTCTGGAAGGAATCTACATCTTTTCATTTTCTGTGGAACAAAAATAGAAATCCTTTTCCCCAGTAACTTGTCCTTGAACTTAAATTTTGGAGTCAAAGCATTTTTTTTTTAATTTAATTTATTATTTTACATGTCGATCCCAGTTCCCTCTCCTTCCCTCCCTTCCTCTCTCCTTCCTTCCCTCCCTTTTACCCTCTCTGCCCTCTCACATGCACTCTAACCACCCTCCCCTCCCATCCCCCCCATCCCAATTCCATGTGTAGGGGGAAACCATCCAGTTGGGGTCACGTAGGTCTGACAGGTCATTTGTACATTTCTTATAGGACAAAAAGTTTGATCCAGGGTAAAATAGTGGTTAAAATGTTGGCAAACTCCATGAATAATTTAATGGATCTGGCACAAATTTGCTTTAGATTTGATTTTACTAATAATTTATCATATATGATATGATTGTCCCCAAGCTGATCACTCTGCCTTCACCTTCTACTGAGACCCACGTTCAGGGGGTCTGGGTCGGTACAATGCTGGTTTCCCAGTTATCAGTCTGGGGTCTATGAACTCCCCCTTGTTCAGGTCAACGGTCTCTCTGGGTTTTTGTAGCCTGGTCTAGACCCATTTTCTTATCACTCCTCCCTCTCTGCAATTGGATTCCAGGAGATCGGCTCAGTGTTTAGCTGTGGGTGTCTGGTTCTGTTTCCATCAGCTACCAGATGAGAGCTCTATGATGGCATATAGACTTATTGTGATTATAAGTGAAATTGCATCACGTCTTATTTTTAAGAAAAACTCATTTTGTGATAAATTTTAATGTTTTTTCATTTTTTATTATTAAATGAACAAAGAAATTATAAAAAATTGATCTTATTGGACATTTCTATTTCTAAAGTATTAGCGAAGTAACCAGAGCCAGAAAGAAACCATATCTCCCATCTATGTTTCTTCTCTTCAGAAGTGCACTTATTAGCTGGGGTCACTGAAGAAACCAGGAAAGTACAAGGGCACTATGGTGGGATGAGGGGGTGGAACTAGAGAGGGAATATCAGGACGTAAGAGACACGAAGAAGGAAATGTGGAAATAGCAGGAATGGGGCTGTAGTCAAAGTGGGGTAAGGACAATAAAGAAGGTGTGGTAGTTTTAATGTAATTGGCCCCCATAAGTTCATAGTGAGTGGCACTATTAGGAAGTGTGGCTTTGTTGGGGTAGGTGTGACCTTTCTGGAGGAAGTGTGCAACTGTGTGGGAAGGCTTTGAATTTTCCCATGCTCAAGCTATGTCCAGTGTGGACATAGACTCCTTCTGCTGTCTGCAGATGAAGATGTAGGACTCCCAGCTCCTTTTCCAGTACCCTGTCTGCCTGCACACCACCATGTGCCTCCATGATATGGACAAAACCTCTGAAACTATAAGCCACTCTAATTAATTGTTTTCCTTTGTAAGACTTGCCATGGTCATGGTGTCTCTTCACAGCAACAGAAACCCCAACTAAGACATAAGGCAAGTGGAAAGGATGATAAATAAATTAAGGATATTTAAAAAGGTATAGGATATCATCTGAAATTACATATACTATATATAGGCATATGCACATGCACACATGTATAGCACATGTATAGTGTAAATGGAGTTGAAGTTCCAGGAATGATAACAGTCATCCCAAAAGCCACAGACTATGTAATGAAAACCCCAGTTATAGGCATGGGATATGTCTTTTCCAGTTACTGATCAGGGAGGCCTAATAGTCTTCCCAAATGTAAGCTATTGCTATTGCCCTTGGTTGTTTATCAGACCTGGAAAGTAAGTCCATATTGCTGAAGGTACTTAAGATTGAGAGGATTTGAGCTGTAACTGATCCAAAAGCTTCCTGTCTGACACCAGATTTTTTAGTACCTGAAGGTGCTAGGAAAGTTGCCATGGGAGGAAAATAATCAGTAGCATTACTTAGTTGTGGTGCCTATAAACCACAGAAGCCAGTGCGACAATATGTTTCAAACTAGTGTGCCATACTCTGCTTGAAATTTTGGAGCAGATGGAGATAATTACAGAAAGCATCACTTACTCAGAATGTAGAGAACAACTGGCCATGAGGTGCCCATCGCCAATTGATACACCTACAACACAACACCCAAAATTAAGGCTCAGAGAACATCACTGAAGAGAGGGTGGAAAGAATGTTAAGAGCTAGGGGATCAGGGAGTGTACTGCAAAACACACACACACACACACACACACACACACACACACACACACACACACATCGAAGCTATACCCATGAAAATTCAACATTATGTCTGCTTAAACAATTCCTGAACAGTTCTAACATCAAGTGACACCCATTGTGGATGAAGGAAATCACATAGGGCTTTACCTCTAGATGAAGAGCTACAAAAACAATAATGACTACTGAGTGAGGTAGAATTAGTATCCCCAAGGCATGAGCCCCCTAATTGTTTATCCAATATTATATGGTCAGTCCTAAAAGCATGTATACAAACAACAATAAATGGATTTGAAGGGCTGTATTTACATATTTATTCATCTATACACACATATATGTAACAATAATATATGCATGTAAAAATAATTAAAGAAAAGGAAACAATATATGTCATAGAGACTAGAGTGTAGTAAGTGGGAAGGGATAAGGAAAGGTTTGTAGGGAGTAGAGTAAAGATGGAAGTGATGCTATTATATTATAATTGAAAATAAAATTTACAAAAGAAGTGACTTCTTACATTCAATCACACATTGAAACACTATAAAATGTAAAGAATCTTTTAAGGATTAGATCAGGAGGAAATGTCCAGGAAATATATAGGAAGGATGGAAGCTTTTCATTTATTTGGCACAAATTGTTGTCTCAGGATATTGACAAAATCAGACACCTTTTGTGCATCACTGTGCAAGCAGAAGAACAAGCTATGTAAACCAAAAAGTTGAATTCCTCTTCTTGATTGCTGTACATATGGCTCTCCTGACCAGGCAGGGTAGTTCTCATTTTCCTTAAGTTTGGGATGCACCTAATCACAAAATAATAATCAACCAGTTATTATATATATTATTAATATTTGTTAATACTCATTACTTTTAAGTATTGAATAATATTTTGAGGAAAGTTATGAATGTAAAACTTAAGCCAAAATATGTGTTTCATGTATGTGGATCAGGATACTATAAATCTGTTTCTTAGCTAAAAACTGGACAGAAGAACCATGAATATATATATTTTGTAGTGAAGTTGATCCCAGATGAAGTATATCATTACAGGAGTAGACAGAATTGCTGCTTGGCTATTGACATGCTTTTGACTGAAGGACAATAGAGAATCTAGTGTCAGTTTTCTTGGGAGGAATTTTTCCATGTTCTCAGTGCTATCTCTGATGTGCCATTTGTATTTTATTAGTTTTCTTAGGAGACAGTTTTCCTTTCCTTCCTTCAACAATATCTATTCTCCATAAATCATGGGCATGAAGCTACAGAAATGATGGGGATTACACCTGGTGGTCTAAAATGCTTTTAGCTTAGGGATACTGTGGTAATACGTACTGAAATAGTCAGGATACTTTGACTCTGCCCAGAAAAGACACTGTCCAAATCATTTCTAGGAATCATTAACATTTCTTCAGATCTGTGTTGAGAGGTGCTGAGTGAAGCACTTTTGAGAAGTTTGAAGAACCACATACCCTTTATTCCCAAGACTGCCTAAATTTCACTGTGGGAGACAGAAACTTCATCCAAAGTTCAGTTTTCATTACAGATGTTTCAGTTTTCCTGAAAAATGAGAGAAAGTAAGAGAGTTTAAAGAGATGACTCACCTGGCTGAGTATAGTCTTAATGGCCTGCATATCTTTCGTGAGTCTTTTGAGTTGACCATCAATCAATGCAACTTTTGATATGGTATCATGAGGAGTTCCATCAAGACTAGCCATGTTGTTTTCTACATGGTACAGAAGATTTTTCCAGGCATCCAACATTTTGATAGTCACATCCAGAAGGGCCACAGGCTAAAAAAGAAAACCCACACACAATTGAGCATCATATTAAAATAAGGGTACAACTGCAGGTTGAATTACATGTGGCAACTAGTGTAGTCTTCATGGCTTGTGAAGTGTTTGCTGATTAACTGAAGCAATACTGATAGTGTTTTGTGAAGTGTCTAGCCATAGGGTAGCTCTCTACACTCTTCCTTCACTTTTCTTAGGTTTTGCAATTGCAGTTGTGCATAGCAGATATACAGAAAGTTGATTCCAGTAAATCATGAAGAACAGATTATATGTGTGCCTTGTGAACATATATGATGATGGTTATTTTAAGTCATGTTGTGATTGGTTATGGGCAGGTTATCAGATATGTAGACAATAGTAAAAATACACTAGTATTGTCTGTCTAGTTATGATAGGTCATTTTTGTACCCCATGAAATATGAATAGTATTTTACTGGATCTGCATGCAAAAACCCCAGAGAATGGTATCAGGTTAGAGTGAAACAGTAGGCAGAAGATCAGAAATACAACAAGGAACATCTTCCAAGTCAAGAAGGGTTGATGTCATGGTCAGTAGTGTACAATGCTTGCTTTCCAAGGAAGCACTTTAGTAATCATAAAATTCCTACTCTTCTTATTTTTCTTATGCCTGCACGTGAGAGCAAATTTAATCATGAAAACTCAAATCAGTTCAAAGTCTCTTACATAATAACAGGTTCAATCCTAATGATAAGGTTGTGATTAAAATAGGAACAATTTCATGAGCAATTTGTGGATAGGTGTGAAGTTACTCTCAGTTTTATTTTGTATGTACTATGTCAGCTGTCTAGTTGCTTTTCTTGTGTGCTCATCCTTTCAACCCACTTCTGAAGGTGTGGTTACCATGGCCTAATGGTACTTGTTTTCAGGTGGTTGGGTGAGGACATACCTCCATCCTTTGAGCTTTCCTTTTGCTGTTTGGGATGGAGCGCCATGCAGTGTGGCAGCTCATGGTGGGCCTGTTCTGGAATTTCTGACTTGGATCATACTTTGCATCCTGGAGATGATGAAAAAAAGTCAAATAGTTAGAGTTTTGGAATTGAGTACATGAACTTGTGAGCAGAGTGTTAAGTATGAATGCATTTTCCTTGTGTAATTAAAAGTATTTATTTTGTCAGTTTTTGGAGAATTTCAGCTATGAATACTGTATTTACATAATTTCTACCCCACACTATCCTCCCTGCAAATCTTCCTAGATCTTCACTCCCTCTCAACTTTATGTTCTCTTCTTTATTATTGCTACACATGCACAGAAACAAATATACACATGTATACTTAACTATGACCCCTGTAAGGCAACTTAGTGTTGCTCATATGAACATGTATTTGTGAATAACCACTTGGGATTGGATGCCTTATGAAGGGGCTTCTCCCTAAATAACACTGGTTCCCCATGTATTGGAGGCCATTAACTTGTAATTATTTCTGTAGGAGCTGGGGGCCTTGTAAAACTTCCCCTATTCATATTGGGATGTGAAGAGTACATTAAATCTTTAAATTAAGACATTAAAAAAAGAAACCTTTGGTCTATTTACTTCTTTCCATTGGAGATGTAATCTAATTTTCACATCTAACCTATTAGTTTCTCATATCTTCACAACTTTACAGTTCTGGTTTCTCACTCTTTAAAAAGTTACTATTTGCAAAGGAAGCACTAAAACACCAAATCTACAAAACACTATTTTAATGATTATCATTTTATAGGAATAGAAACCAATGCTTAATACATATACACATGTGCGTGCGTGCGTGTGTGTGTGTGTGTGTGTGTGTGTGTGTGTGTGTATACTATCTCTTGATTCTTGTTGGGGCAAGCTACATACTTCCTCTAATTATATATATATATATTCTATTAGCACTGGATCTATATACCATGAACATATCCAGCTCATAATTATGGACGCAACTGTGCTAATTGCAACAGATTCAAAGTATAATATCTTAGGAAACAGTGCACAATGGGAAAAAACTAAATGTAAAAATATAATGTAATATTTAAACATTAGTTGATTTTTAAATATTACATGTTGTTATATATTATTTACCACATTTACTACTTAAATTTGGTAACCAACAAAATTATGAGTGGTTAGAGATCATTAGATGAAAGTTGCCAATCAGGAACAGAGAATGACAAAACTAAAACAGATACTGCAGAGGCCAGTGTTAATAAATGCTCATTGTGCACCTGGTAGCCTTGTGCTCAGAGTCATTGATGCTGAAGCTCTTGTCTATTTTTGGCTCCCAGACTGACTAAGAACAGATAAGATCTAGCCTTTAAAGTACATTCATCAGGAAGAGGAGGCCTGTTTATCTTTCTAACCCAGTGCTCATTTTGTAATGTTAAACTCATGTCCTCAAATTCTTTAAACAATGGCTCCTTGATTTGGTGGTCTTGAAAAGCTAATTACTATTACTATTACTATTATTGTTGCATTTCTCCCCCCCACGACATTGTTTCAGTCATATTAATTATTTCCAGTTTAGGGGATTCATCCAGTTTGATTCTCCTTTATTGTATATCTGCAGTATGCTAAGTGAAGAATACCAGTGCAGATTTCCCAGAGTGCCCAAGAACAGTAAAGTCAGAGCCCTGTTTTAATCATTACTTTTAGGGTTTTATGCCAAGAGTACAAATTTAAAAAAAATACATTACAGAAAAATCTTTTTAAAATGCTTTCAAATGTATTTTAAAGTATTTCATTTACCCCTAAACTTAGTGATTTCATGTAGCTCTCATTGCCCCCAGCCCTGCACCCCATATTTTAGTGGCTGTTGATTTCTTGTGTCTATGAATGTGTATTATTTGAACTTTGGACTTTGGTTCATATTTTTTCATTTAATCATCCCAGTGACTGAATCAAGACCTTTTTTTTTTTTTTTTTTTTTTTTTATGAAAAAGCCTAAAGTAAGGGAAAGACTTACAAACTCATTTAACGTTTCTGAAGAGAGGCGGTTGATGGTCTCCGATGTGTTGCTTGTCACGTTAAACATCCAGGTGAGGACCTTCTGGCAGCCTCCATCTTTCATGAGACACCTGGGCACACAAGCCACATTCTCCCACAAGAGCAGTTGCAGTAGGAGTAGCCCTGATGTAAGGAAGGAAATTGCAGAGACTATCAATTCACGTGAAGGTATAGGGTCACACTGTATAGCTAAGCCTTTTCTAGTTCCAATGTCCTCTTGAACAGTATTGTATATTTGAGCTGGAGTGAGAAAAAAATACCTCAAACTTCAGAGATATGCCTGCCTCTGCTCTCTGAGTGCTGGGATTAAATGCATGCACCACCACTGCTGGGCTCATAAACAATATATTAAATGTAAACTTAAGTAATATTTTTCAGAATTCAAAGTAACTTCAATTTTCAAAGACATGATGCTCTCTCCTGAGTTTGACACTTGATGAGCATACACAACACACAAATCATCATCATCATCATCATCAATGGAGAGATATATACAAGGTCTAAATAAGCTACTTTTTTTTACATTTCTTTAAATAAATCTCATAGTTGTCATTAATCCCTTATCTTGAAAAATTATCATGAATGTAAAGACAAATATCTAGCAACTATATGGTACATTTTTTTTTTTTTTTTTTTTTTTAGTTACAAGTTTATTGGATTGAGGCAAATTCTCAAAGCCCTGTAAGATACACAACTTCAAGCATTCTCTGCTTTACTTGAGTATTGGAAGTTTCATTAGGTTGGCTCAAGCCAGGTGTCTTAAACCTGGAAGTGTTAACTACACGATTCAGGGGTTGTAACAAATTAGAACCATAGGCACCAGTGGTCTTATTCCAGCAACAACTCTAAATTCCAGAAGCACAGCAGTTTTATGTAGACTATTCCTTGTTCTGCAGCTGCCCTGTGCACTGAGGCTGTGTGGACATCTCTCTAGTTTCTACACACTACAAGTCAGTAACCTGCTCACCTTTTATCCTCACTTCAGTCAAGAAAAGACACTTTCTACAGTTGTAGTTTATCTCTGGAACCAGGAAGGTTAACCTTTTAAAGACCCACTAACCTAAATATTCTGCAGTTTTCTTATGCAGCAAAGATTAGAATGTTGTAAGTACTGCACAAGAGCAATGAAAGTATTCTATACAAGTAGTGATTTGTGTAAAATGATGAATTCGTTAGGTTTTGAGGAGCAGAAGGAAGAGAATACTTACATATGTGTGGGTGAATCAAAGATGGCCACATTTCTGAAAAATTCCGCTACAGTCTGGCTACCAACTGAAGAAAACTGGTACACTAGATTCTTGTCTTCAGTTACCTTTCTACCACCTTATATAGTCCATCAGACCACTCCCAAAGCTATGCAGAGATGGCCTTCAGGAAGAAATAATTGGAATTGGATATGGGGGCCTTTCAGGTAATGTTAACTGAGTCATAGTAATTACTGTAGCCCTATCTATATTTTTTCCTGAGTTGTATACAATGACTAGGCTTCAGTGAGGTTATAGGTCACTATAGCCATATCTACTTCCTCATGTCTGACGTTTGTGTCACAGCTAGTAGAATGTAGTCACTTCCTAACATTTCAATTATTTCCCCCAGGCTCTTGTGTTTATCTGTCAACTTTTGCCAAAATTCTTTGAATCATGAATGAGTTGCACATTTTAAAATTCATTTATAGTTGACCATAAGGCACTCATAACACAGTAGCAATCAATTGTTCTCAGCAATTTCATTGGTACAGATCTGTGGAGCAACCATCAGCCATTATAGAGTTTATCTTTGCTATATAAGATGATAACAGCTATCTATGGACTCAAAATCACATTGAGAAGAGTGTTAGGTACACCACATCTACTTATCAAAAGGACAGTAAAAACCTTGCTACTGGACCTAGGGCCACCCTAGCCACAGATTTTTGACCTGGCTAGCAATATGAAATATAGGTTCCCTTGTGAATTCTGGCACAAGGTAATTGGTTGCAACTATACCTTTTGTGCCTTGGAATGGTAGTTACATCTTGTCAAGTTTTGTGATTGTGTCAACATGAATCTGATCAGTTTATCTATTGACACTTTGCCCTTGTATCAAGTATAATACATTTAGCGTTTGCTACATTACCATTTCAGAGATCTTGTCCAGCCTACTTCCTCCACATTCTGAAACCAGAGCAGAGGGTATCAACATCAATACATTCTTAACATTTGGTTTATTCACCCCATTGGCAGTGCATGTATTCTGTGGACAGCCTCATGAGCCTCGTGGTCAAAAGCTGTTAGGAAAACGACCACTTTGTCCACTGGAATTTATTAATGACTTTATGGCTTTTACACATAAATTCACACCAAGTACAGCATGTACTTTAACATCCTTAGCAATTACAGTCACTGTTCTGAATAGTTTTCCAAATAAGTATGAAATAACAGGTTATCATCACATAAGGCAAAACTTTACAGAGGACCTCACGATCTCTGAAGGTTTACTGTTGCCTTCTCCATGAAACTGGATTCCTTTCTATAGTCTAGCATCAAAGTGGAATAAAGGAGAGAGGAGGTCAAAACAACAGAAAGATGTCTGGAAAGTCATAAGGAATCATATGATTGATTTTTTTTTTTTTTTTTTACCTAAAGGTGTATAAACATGCATGTATAGTTTAAGTGAAATTTTTTCATCTGGGATGAGAAACAAATTGTCCTTGAAGATGCCACAATGAAACCTAATATGGTATATGCTAATTTAATTTTTAAATAACATGATAATTAAAAAGAGAAACAGAGGGATACTCCCTCAGCCTAGACACACAGGGGAGAGCCTAGGCCCTGCTCCAAATGATATGACAGACTTTGAAGACTCCCCATGGAAGGCCTCACCCTCCCTGGGGAGCAGAAAGGGAATTAGAAGGGGGTTGGTGGGGGGAAAAGGGGAGGACAGGAGTGCTCAGGAACTGGGATTGATATATAAAACAAGCTTGTTTCTAATTTAAATAAAAATATATAAAATTAAAAAAAGGTAGACACACACACATGCAAAAGAGAAATACGGTACACTTTTGAGTGAGAAGAAACAGGCAAAACAAGAAAGTGGTCAGCAATGGAATTGTTTCTAATTTCTTAAAGAAAGACACTTCATATCACATAGCACCCACAGGCTTTGGCTCTGCCTGACTTCTTTTGCATGATGTTACATAGGCTTTTGTATAAAACTTTATTCATTGTAAGTATCACTAGCAACTAAATTTCCACTCAGGGTGAGGGTATCACTATTCCAATATTCCACTATTCCAATACATTCCAATTGGACTATATGGAATGTATCTGTGCTTAGGCCAGTGGTAGATTTCACCTAACCAAAGCCAGGGTTTTCCCTATTTTCCTGTGGATGGAGGTTTCTGCCTCACCATGTCCCACAGCACTTTGTGTCCAAATAAATACATAGAGGGTTATATAAATTATAAACTGGGCAATAGCTCAGGATTATTATTTGCTAGCTCTTTCTTAATTATTAACCCATTTCTATTAAACTATGCATTGCCACAAGGCTATGGCTTTCCCTTAATGCTTCGGCATGTTATTCCTTCGGCATCTACATGGCATCTCTCTCTGACCACTGCTCCCCTGCCTTTTTTTCATCTTAGCATTCTTCTAGTCTTGTAACCCCACCTATACTTCCTGTTCGGGTACTGGCCAATCAGTATTTAGTCACCAACCAATAAGAGAAACATATATTCACAGCATACAGAAGGGCATCCCCCATCATCTCCTCTTTTCTGTCTAAATAAAAAAACGTTTTTAACAAATTTGACCTTAAATTTGTATCAGTAAACCAAAATCCATACCAATGAAATGTAGTCATTTCTATATTCCATTCCACCCCCTTTTTTTTCTTTAGAAAGAGATTGACTGTGATCATTAACCATTTATAACCAACCCCATTCAAATGAAAGTAAGCACTGATAAACAATATTTGGGAAAGTGGGTGTAGTTCTCTTGAAACTGCTTCCTGCTGTTTGGGGTACTGTCAATCTCCAGGGGATCCTGAGAAAACCCAGAATCCTGGCCGAACCTTGACTGTAGTAGTCTGAGGCTGCATGGTCTCAGCTGTTTCAGATTTTGGATCTCCTGGGCCATTGCTTCAGGGGGTCTTACTCGACAAAACCATATTAGTCTGGAAGGAAGCTTTTCATCTTCCGTGGAAACAAAAGCAGAACCTCTTTTTCAAAGTAACATCGCCTTAGACTCAAATTTTAAAGTCAAGGCATTTCCCAGCAGCATTTATTTTTGGTTGTGAGCCTAGCCTTTAATGGCTGAGCTATCTTTCCAGCCCTCTAACATCATTTAGAATCAAATATCTTTTAGCAGCTTTCCTTCCTCCTCAGCAATCAAACATTCAAAGACAATACAATAACATATAGTACCCAAACTCTCTGTGTATTTTTCATCTTTACATGGCTTTTTTTTTAAATACTTTTTTTTTTTAATTTTGGTTTTTTGAGAATGGGTTCCTCTAAGGGAGAATTACATTTCAGGCAATGGCTGCAATTGAAAATAATTAAAGTCAAAGATACAGTAAGAGCAAGGGGTAACAATGAAAATTATTAATAATGATGATGACAGCTTTTCAAGAACCCCAAACTTGGGGGTCATGTTTAAGGACTTGAGATCATAAGTTCATAATTATGGTTTGGGTTTTTCAGGTCATGAGTTTAGAATCAAGGGTTGTTCATTTAGAATTGTGAACAGGCTCATTCTTTGTAGAGTGTAATGAATATGGTTTTTCCGCCCGCCATCCCACTTCTGACACCAGATATCACGGTTAAATAAGGATCAGGATAAACAAATAGGCCGAATAGATGTTTATTCAGGGAGAAATAACTTACAACCTAGACAGATGAACACCAGGAAATTCTACCCGATGCTCTCCTGTCTGAGTCATGCCAGCAAGAGAGCTTTTCCTGGCTCTCTCTCTGACCTCCATCCACAGGTCACTTCCGCCCATGGCTCCACCCCCCAATGGGCATGGTCAGTGCCACAGAAGGACTATCTCACTACAATAGTGTGTTTAGTTGGTGTCCTCAATGCACCAGGTGAAAAATGCCAATGGAAAAATTTCCCAACACTCAAGAATAAGAAGTCAGAATCCTTCTGCCACATCTCTTAGGACTTTAAATACTGAGTGAAAAATTTAAAAAAACTAAGCAGAAATATTTTGGGAAAACTTAAAATCATTGCTATTTTGCAAACTGAAGATTTCATGCCCCATTCTCCTTGTGGAGTTAAGAATGAGATGTCTCTTATAAGTCTTGGGTGTGTGGATACTTGGTCCCTGGTTGGTGGCTGTTTGGGAAGGATAAGAAGGTATGCCTTTTTGGAGGAAGTAGTTTACTTGGGCTGGACTTGTTTAAAAGACTCACAGTACTTTGAGTTAGTATTTCCTGCTTCCTGTTTGTGTTTGAGGAAGTGATCACTTACCTCCAGCTGTCTGCCAGCTGCCAAGTGTCACCAGCCACCTCTGTTCTGCCATCATGGCCTGCCCCTGGAACCATGAGCCTACATACATTCTTCTATAAGTTGCCTTCATTGTGGTGTTTTATCATAGCAATCCAAAAGAAAGTAATTCAGTCTGTGTTCACTGTTGAGTAACAGATGCTTTCTCATGTCTGCGGATGTGCATTATCTAAAGCTTGATTCATGAAGCTTTTTAAATTAAGCTATAGTGCAGCCCAGTCCTAGACATGAAGGTTTCTTTGGAGAATAAATGGGATACTTCCAAACTCTCTGAAGGGTTCATAAGAGGGTTGTTTGATATTTATCTCCAGGATGCTCACAGATGTGACTTGTGGCCAGTGAAACAGGTGCCTAAGAATCAACTGTCAGGTCCTTTCTCCATTTTATACTTGGGCAGAGAGCCCATGTGTTCCTCCATGAGCAGGTTTGATAACAGCCACAGGGGTGTCTGTGCCACAGTGGGAGAAGTCACTGAGAAGATCTATTCACATGAAGCTGAGTCACCCCATGTAGGAAAGGTCTGTATTTCCCTTGTGTCCTTTATTGCTTGATCATTTTGATACTTTTTAGTGTGTAGTGAGAATATAAAGACATTCCATTATAAAAATTAATTAGACGATTACATTTTCACTTATGTACAGTTTGAAAATTTGATGTATTCTGTAGTTCTTGAGTGTTCCTAATGTGCTCTTGCAATTCACAAACACTTGGACCATGTAATATTTCTGAGCTGGATGTGTAAGTCATTCTCTTCAGATAGTGTAATGTTTGGCAGTTTCTGATAATTTTCAGGCATGAGACTCTTACTAGTTTTTATATTTTTACTCAGTGTTTATCAGTAGCATTTTATAGTGGTGTGATAAGGTCATTATAGTTCATCTGCTTGCTTCATCATCTTACCTTATGAGAATAAACACATGGTTTCTGGATTCTTAACAATGAGAATTAACAAGGTTCAGGTATAAACATGTTGCCTCAGGCTAGAGTTACAGCTCATCACAGAGCTCTCATGGTTTGTCCCATTGCCAAATACTTGCAATTTTTCCCTCTAAATTTGTCTTTACAATGATCTTATAAGAAGTATAAGTCTTGTAGTTACAATTAAATTCTATTGATGAAATACGTGCTCTTTTGGTTAAGTGACTTATCACTTACTAGCAGTTTGACGAATCAGGATGTCCTGTGGGCTTTGCATTGTCCATGTTCCTTATACATACTAATGGGCTTTCATTGAGTATCTGAACAGCAGCAATCCCATCAGTAGTCCCAAGGGTCAGTGATAGCTCTCATCATTTCCATTGTTTATAGCAGCATCATTTATGATCAGACAAGTCCTAGGAACTCTGTCGTGCATGATACCCACCTTCCAACTAGACACAACATTCTGGAGTGGTTTCTGTATCAATTTAATTTTCATTAGGTGGTAAGACACAGACCTCTAACAAAGCAGCAATATGTCATCTCCAGGAGACTATGTTACCTGATAAATGCTACCAGGCTTTAGTGATAGCAGGCTAAAATTTTTTTCTGGTATGAAAATGTGAACCTTATGAAGTAAGTTCCAGATATTATGGTTAAATAAGGATCAGTATAAACAAATAGGCCGAATAGATGTTTATTCAGGGAGAAATAACTTACAACCTAGACAGATGAACACCAGGATATTCCACCCTACACTCTCCTGTCCGAGTCTCGCCAGCAAGAGAGCTTTTCCCGGCTCTTCCTCCGACCTCCTTCCACAGGTCACTTCCGCCCATGGCTCCACCCCCAATGGGCGTGGTCAGTGCCACAGAAGGACTATCTCACTACAATTCCCCTTTTAGTCTAAAGAAAGATTTAGGCTTAATACAAAACTATATATGGAAAAACAAAAGACCCAGGATAGCCAAAACAACCCTATACAATAAAAGAACATCAGGAGGCATCACCATTCCTGACTTTAAGCTCTACTACAGAGCTATAGTTCTGAAAACAGCCTGGTATTGGCATAAAAATAGACAGGTAGACCAATGGAATCGAATTGAAAATCCTGATATTAATCCACGCACCTATGAACACCTGATTTTCGACAAAACAGCTAAAATTATACAATGGGGCAAAGACAGCATCTTCAACAAATGGTGCTGGCACAATTGGATGAGGGTGTGTAGAAGACTGCAGATAGACCCATGTCTGTCGCCATGCACAAAACTCAAGTCCAAATGGATCAAAGACCTCAACATCAATCCAGCCACATTGAACCTCTTAGAAGAGAAAGTAGGAGGTACCCTTGAACAAATTGGTATAGGAGACCGCTTCTTGAACATAACTCCAGGGGCACAGACACTGAAAGAAACAATTAATAAATGGGACCTCTTCAAACTTAGAAGCTTCTGTAAGGCAAAGGACACAGTTGACAAGACCAAACGGCAGCCCACTGACTGGGAAAAGATTTTCACTAATCCTATATCCGACAAAGGGCTGATCTCCAAAATATACAAAGAACTCAAGAAACTAGTCAACAAAACACCAAATAACCCTATTAAAAAATGGGGTACAGAACTGAAGAAAGAATTCTCAATGGAGGAAATCAAAAAGGCTAAAGACACTTAAGAAAATGCTCCACATCCTTAGCTATCAGGGAAATGCAAATCAAAACAACTTTGAGATACCATTTTACCCCTGCCAGAATGGCTAAAATTAGAAACACCAGTGATGACTTATGTTGGAGAGGATGTGGAGAAAGTGGAACACTCCTCCACTGCTGGTGGGAGTGCAAACTCATACAGCCACTTTGGAGATCAGTATGGCGGTTCCTCAGGAAAATGGGAATTAGTTTACCACAGGACCCGGCAATCCCCCTCTTAGGCATATACCCAAAGGATTCACATCAATGCAACAAAGACATCTGTTCAACTATGTTCATAGCAGCACTATTTGTAATAGCAAGAACCTGGAAGCAACCTAGATGCCCTTCAATTGAAGAATGGTTAATGAAGATGTGGCACATCTACACAATGGAATACTACTCTGCAGAAAAAAATAATGGTATCTTGAAATTCGCAGGCAAGTGGATGGCACTTGAAGAAACCATCCTGAATAAGGTAACCCAGTCACAAAAAGAGGAACACAGTATGTACTCACTCATATATGGATTTTAGACCTAGATCAAATGATCACCAGCCTATAATTCACATCACCAGAGGAACTAGGATACAAGTTGTATTCTAAGAGATTCATATAAAGTCCCTCACAGAACTGGGAAGGGACAAGTCCCCCAGACCTCAGGTATAGTGGGGGAGGACAGCTAATGGAGAGAGAAGTAGGAGAAAATGAGAGGGAGGAGAGGAAGGCATGTGCGACCAGGAGGATTGAGCCTGGTTAGGAATGGAAAATAGGAAAGAGAGAGAGAGACAGAGACAGAGAGAGAGAACATAAAAGAGGGAGCCAATATTGGTTTGAAGATAAAGCTGAACACAAAGAAAGGTCGAGGGAACTACAAGACTGCTCCCAACTAACAATCTCAGCTTCCGTGGAAAGGCTATCATAAATACCCTTCCCGGAGAGTGAGATCAACAACTACCTTCTCCATGGAGTCCTCAACTAATGCCTGTTGAAAACAGGAGCAAACACCCATACATAAACACTGAGTCAAACTAGAACCCAGAAGCAGATGGAGAGGACAAGACCATGCGGTAGAAGTACATAGAGACAGCTTACCTGAACAAGGAGGAGCTAAGGGCCACTAGACTGATAGCTGGGAAGCCAACAGGGGTCTGACTCGGACCCCCCCCTGAATATGGGTCTCAGCCAGAAGGTCTGAGCAGTCTAAGAGACCTCAGACAGTGGAGCCAGGATGTATCCCTGGTGCACAAAAGGACTTTGCAAACATATCCCCCATGGAGGGATAACTGCCTTATTCTAGAGATAGGAGAGAAGCCCTAGTCCCTACTTCACAGGACCTGTCAGATCTACATGACCCCAACTGGATGGCATTCCCCTACATATTGTACTGTGGTGGGGGGTTGGGAGGGGAGGGTGTTTAGAGTGCATGGGAGAGGGTAGAGAGGGCAAAAGGGAGGGAAGGAGGGAGGGAAGGCTTGGGGGGGAGGGAGGGAGGGAGGGAGAGGGAACTGGGATCGACATGTAAAATAATAATAAAAAAAAAAAAAAAAAAAAAAAAAAAACGCTTTGACTCCAAAATTTAAGTTGAAGAACAAGTTACTGGGGAAAAGTATTTCTATTTTTGTTTCCACAGAAAATGAAAAGATGTGGATTCCTTCCAGACTAATGTGGTTTGATCACACCAGACCGCCTGAAACAGAGTACAAGCTGATCCTACATTCCAAACAGCTGGACAAAACAGCCCTACAGACTACAGCTAGGATATCTGAATCTTCTTCGAATCCTCCAAGACAGCGCCCCTTACCAGCAGGAAGTAGTTTGGAAAGAACGACGCCCAAATTCCCAAATATTGTGTATAAATGTTTGTTTTCATTTAATTGGACTTTGTTATATAAAATTAAATAAAAAATACTCTATACTATATGCATAAAAAAAAAACAAAACTATATACAAAACAGTGAATAACAAGTGTGCTCTAAGAAAAGGAAAATCGAGAACAAAATGACCTACATATCTAGTCTTAGGGTGAAGGCATAACAGAGTTTACAATAGAGTTGTCCTAAGCTGGAAAACATAAGTCTAGTACCTAATATATCTAACTAGGAAGAGAGAATAATAGTTGTAATAATTTAATCTTCAACCTCATCAAGACCTGAGAAGGAAAATAACGATACTAGAGTAGACAGGAAGTACAGATGGACAATTTCCAAAAGGTGCAGCAAAGACAGAAACAGCAAGCCACCTGGACAGTCACTCTAGGTCTCACAGCAACGTTGGTACACCCAGTTTTGGCTAAGGCCAAGAGAACTTGACAGACCACAAAAACAGCAGGGAGGCAGAATGGCTGTCTTACCCTGACTTGACAAGGTCCAGCAGTCTTCTATATTTGTCTCCTGCAAGCACATAGGACTG